ATCAGAGCAAGTAAAAGTGAAAATTGTTTATAAACAGACCTCAATGGGCGTTGATAACTTCTTTTTGCAAATTTGATCATACTTTTGTCTTTTGGTGGCAGCTTGCAAACCTTGCCATGGAAGACTGAAAGAATTCAAGAACCAAATATCAAGCCACATGTTGAAAAATATGTGCAATAATACTCAAAATTTTATATTAATCAAGATTCATTTTAAGATTACATTCGATGGGATTGCACATACCTTCCTCTTAAAAAGTACATTAAAACATAGCCAAGAGACTCCAAATCATCTCGACGACTTTGCTCTAATAAGAAGTAAAAAAAAATGAGGGAAATTATAGGTTACAATCTATGGAGGAGAAAAAAGGAAAAATTCTTTGTACTTACCAATTCCTGAGTGAGTATTGCAACTTGCATAACGGGCAGTCCCTGTTAAACCTTTGTTTTCTCTGGATGAATTTATCAATGTAAGAACAAGCTTTAAGCAACAATAATCTGACACGAAATATAAACTTGATTTTGGTTTCTCATTTTTAGCAATAATGCATCTACCTATAAACAGATTTTTTGCAACATTACTATAGGGACAAGTATGGAAAAGTCCTAACACTTAAAATCTTCTTAGTTATACTAAATAGTGTATATAAAATGACGAATATTATACCATACAGAGATAAAGGAGTTGCCTAGAATAAAATATCTTTAATTTTAATTTATTATCGTTTCTCATATACATTGTACTGAAATTATATATTCCATAATTAATGAACCTGAAATATAATCTGTAATAATAAGAGATTAGATAAAATAGTAAAACTAGACAGAAAAATATATGTACCTGTAAGGGATATGCTTATTTGTGATGGGATCCCTGTATCTTTTTGCTAGTCCAAAGTCAATCATGTAAATCTGAGAGTGTTACATTACAACATTATATATTAAAAGTTGAAAGCTAAAGAAAATACTAAATAATCTTTTTATCCACATAGAAACTGAAAGAACAAAAATACTAATGAAGCAATACCTGATTTGCTTTCTTTCCGAGACCCATAAGGAAGTTATCGGGTTTGATGTCTCTATGCAAAAATCCTTTGGAATGTATATATTCTATCCGTGTAAGCTGTGGTCAATTAAACAAAAGCAGATTTATCTTTAATTTCCATGTATTTATATATTCTTTTTATAAATGAATAAAAAATTATAATTATGTTTTTAATTTCTAAATTGTGAATCTGCATAGAAAAGTAAGAAACTGGAGCGTGAAAAGGAATCAGTGATTACCATCTGATCAGCCAACATCAAAACTGTTTTGAGAGATAATTTATTGCCACAGAAGTAAAAGAGATCTTCAAGACTTGGTCCCAGAAGTTCGATAACAAGAACATTATTGTCCGCTTCAGTGCCACACCATTTCATTCTTGGAATTCCACCTTCAATTTCATAACAATGTGGAATCAGAATCTATATAGAAAATATTCCAACAGCATTTGAGTTTCTGTTAACTTACTTCCTCCTTGAAGAATACTATATAAATTGCACTCGTACAATAGCTGTGGTTGATTGGTTTTCTTGCTCTCCTATAAAACAAGCAAAATATTGCTTTTAGAAATTGAAATATCTATACTTTTGAAATATTAGAATTCATCTATATTTCATAAAAATGGATGGAAAGTGGAATGCAAACAAGTATAGGTAAGTAACTTGTATAGGTAAGCTAACTTGTCAGCCTCTCAAACTTTAACAGATTGGATTTGAGTTTTTAATCCGCTGCTCCATCTTGACAAAGTGTGACAACCAGTTTTTTTTCTTCTTTTTAAATAAAATTAAATATAATAATTTAAAAAATTAATATTTTGTATTATATTGCTTTTAAGATGTATATATCAATTAATTATAATAAAATAATTTAATAACATGATTATAATTATTTTAATTTATTTTATCAAATAATCAATTAAAACTTAAAAAATACCTACAATGTACTTATATATAAATATATATATATATATATATATATATATATATATATATATATATATATATATATATATATATATATATATATATATATATATATATATAATCCCAAGTTACCAAGTCTCATGCTTAGTAGTCTTATTGTTGGTCATCTATAAGTACATTTACCTAGTCTTTTGCTCACATATAATATGTGATCATTAAAGGTGGGTACCAAAACAAAACGAAAGAAATGAAGGGTAAACTTATTTGTTTTTATAAAGTTCTATCAAGCATTTCATATTATATAATTTAGGTTTCAATCAAATTTTAATTATTTTCAACTCATTATTCAATATTAGACACAAAAGTAAACCTAAAAGACTATACTTTTAGAGACGTATATATATAGGGTGTCAACGTTCTTGTAAAGTTTGGCACCTGTCATAAATTTTTTCTACAGTAAATTCAAGCCTCAACAATAACATTCACCTTATCTCAAAACCAACATCATTATCCCCAAATTGTCACCCTCATCCCAAAACCATCATGATAGGGTTAGTTCTTATCAATCCTTTAAGTCACGTTATTATTTCATACCAATATGTACACAAGGAATCTTTTTTTACTCTCACCACCTAAACCTCATTCTCTATTTGATTATGAGAGTTTAGTAGAGTCATGATGACTTACGCCTAAATTAATAGACAATCATATACATTACACTACATAATTCAAAAAATAGTTATACATCCATATCACAATATTCAATATATTGTTGGCATTCAAGTCAAGGTTATATTCAATCTGACATACACCATTACCGCAAGCCCTCGTTTCATTAATTCTCATCAAGCCATAAAAAGCATTCATAGAAATCTCTTATCATAACTCAGGCAAATTAAAACATTTATCACATATAAAAAATTCCATATCATTTATATGATTCACATCTTCATCATCATTACCATTTTAGTTATAAAGATCACACACATAAATATATGTACAACAATTCATCATCAAAACATAAAACAACTAATAACTAATTCCAAGTTAGTCAACTCACAAATGATGAAGCATATTAGTATTTGGAACTTATAAAAGTTAATAAGACTACCTAACCATAGAAGTAACCTTTCCTAAAGGTAAAGGTCCCCATCTCAATAGATTGAGGTATTTCTAATTAGAGAATCTATTTGAAATTCTGATCAATCCAATCTCAGACACTCAATACTACTATAAATTTCAAGGATCATCTAATACATAGGAATAAATGGTGTCCTAGTAAATTTTCACAATGAATTTGAGTCGTGCACTAGTCGTATTGTACACACCAATCCCTTTTCGTTAACCTTACCTTTAGTGATTTTCCAACTATCATTCATTTGTTTTCTCATTACTTTTTTTAGTTCATTGGAGTTAATGTTTGTTGTAAGTTTGAGTTTCTAACTAGATTTGTGGGAGAAATGGAAGACAAGTTCGTAGATGGATATGTTAACATGAAGGTGAGGGGTGGGTCGTCAGCAAGGATGAAGAGCACAACATCAAACTTCACGCTTGAAATCGTAGTTAACTTTGACGTTCTCCTCTTTGTCCCCATCGACGACCTAACCCTCGCATTTGACGCCAACACACCCATCCAAAAATGCATCTTCCATTTCTCCCGCGAATCCAGCCAACCCTAATGAACTAAAGGAAGTAAGAAGAAAACAAGTGAATTATAGTTGGAAGATCGTTAATATTAAGGTTAACAGAAAGGGAAACGTTAACAGAAGAAAATTTACTAGTGTGCGACTCAAAGACTTTGTGAAAATTTACCAAGTCATCATGTATTCCATTGCATTCAATGATCCTAGAAACTGACAACAACATTGAGTAATTGAGGTAGTAAGGAAAAGTTTGAATTGATCATAATTTTAAAGAGAGTTTCTAATTAGGAATAACTCAATTTATTGAGCTAGGGAACTTTCAGCTTTAGGAAAGGTTATTTTTAAGGCAAGGGAAGCTTATTGATTTGTATAAGTTCCAAATATTAATATGCTTCATAGTTTGTGAGTTGGTTGGATTAGAATTAGTTATTAGTTGTTTTATGTTTTGGATGATGAATTTTTGTACATGTATTTTTTGTTTGTGATCCTTATAGCTGAAATGCTAGTGATAATGAAGATATGAATTATATAAATGATATTGAATTTTGTATATGTGATAAATTGTGATTTGCCTGAGTTATGATAAGAAATTTCTATGAATGCTTTTTATGGCTTATTGAGAATTATTGAGATGAGGAAAATGTGGTGATGGTGTATGTCGAGTTGAATAGAGCCTAAGCTTGAATGCCAAAAATATATTGAATCCACTAATAACAATGTATCACTATTTTGTGAATTGTATGAATATAGTCATTTCGACGTGAAGTCATCTTGACTCTACTAAACACTAATACTCAAATAGAGAATAAGGTTTAGGTGGTAAGACTCGAAGGATATTCCTTGTCTGCAGGATCGGTATGAAATATTATCGTGCCTTAAAGGATTGATAGGAACAAACCCTATCTTGATGGTTTTGGGATAAGGGTGATGGTTTTGGGTAAACCTGTTAAGTTGAGCCAAACCGGCTCACACTAGTTAACTCATCACAACTTGAGGATGATGGTTTTTGGATAAGAGAAATATTGTTGTTAATGTTTGAATGTACTATAGAGAAAATTTATGATAGGTGCAAGACTTTATAAGAACATCAACACCATGTATATGTCTCTTGATCTAGAGCCTTATAGGTTTATTTATATCAAGTGTTGAATGATTAATATCTGAATGAAATTTGGATGAAATCCTGAATTATATAATATAAAAAGCATGATAGAAATTTATAAAAATAAATAAGTTTACCCTTTATTCCTTTTATGATGTTTTGACATCCACCTACAATAATTATATTATATGTCAAAAGATTAAATACTTGCAGAAAATCTTACTAGTGAACAACAAAAATGAGACTGTTAATATGATAAATTAGGATTATATATATATATATATATATATATATATATATATATATATATATATAT